TAGAGAATGGAATAGAATAATACCAACTTCTTAGAGTGGAAAGTACTGTGTGAGATAATACATGTAACATGTTTGGCAGAGTGCCTAGAACCTAGCCAAGTTCAATACATTTACCTGTTGATATGTTAACAATGAGACTACTCATTGAGTACTATTAAATCAGAAAAGCAATAACTTTATTTTCTTATCCATCCAGTCCATACCATGTAGCTGTTCTTTCCCTACTCCTGGATTATGTTTTTAGAATATTCCATTATCTTTCTGATTAGTTTCAAATGGTAAAAATGTTCACTTTTAGTAATAAAATCTTGTAGTATCAGTAATAAAAATGGCCCATGTAACATGTCATTTACAGTTGAAGGTTCTGCTCCCCCAACTTGAGCCTATTTCAGTCTGGGATCTTGTAATGGAGATTTGAGTGTTGGAAGGATCTCTAGATTTTATCTTGTGCATTTCTATCTTTATGTATTAGCATTATTTTATGTTATTTCTCTTTGTCCAAATATTGTACTTTGTTCCATAATTAAGCTCTATTATTATATCTTGATTAGCAGTAGAGCAGGTCTTCATATTTTTTACTTTTTCTTCAGCCATATCTTGGTATTACTGGTGCCTTACATTTCTATATACATTTTAGAATATCCAAATTAATGTACTTGCACTAAATATTGAGATCAAGGTTGTAAATATCTTTTCCAAAATTTCAAATCTTCCAATCCATGAATAATTGTAATCTCTCAATTATTTGTCATTTCACATTTTTCTCAATAGTTTATTCATTTTGTGTTATTTACACACATCTACCTTAAAATTTATTCCTGCTTTTCATTTATTAATGATTCATAAATTATTTCTTTATAAAATAATATTTTCTGACAGTTGCCAATACATAGAAGTACAATGAATTTGTCATACTCACATTTCACAATTGTGGGATAATCTGGTTAATTTCATTAGTTATCAGGGGAGTACAAATTAGAATCATGAGATACTCACTGTATACCACCAGGATGGCTAAAATTAAAAGGTCAGAAAATACTGTTTTTGCATAAATGTGGATAATTGGAACTCTCACACTACATGTGGAGTATAAGTTTGCGAAATCAATTTTTGGAATCAGTGGTTTCTACTAAATCTCAATACATGTCTACTTTATGATTCAGCATTTCTACTCCAAAGTATAGTCCTAAAAGAACTGTTTCATATAACTTGTTCACTGAAAGACATGTAGAAATATATTCACAGCAACATTATTCATAACAGACTGAAATTAGAAATAATGTCCATCAGCACTACAATGGATAAATAACTTGGGACATATTCATACAATAAAATACATTATTTTATAAAGATATACTCTATTGTTACATGGACCAATGTGAATGAATCTTCACAAATTTAATGTTGAATGAATGAAGGTAAAAACAAAAGAAATACTGCTGTATGATTTCATTTATATATAGCTAAAAAACAATCAATATAGTGATTACATAGGGACAGGTAGAAATAATATATGGAAAGGGATTTGAGTGTTTGGAATGTTACTTATGCTTTATTTCTTGATCAAGATGTGTTTACTTTGTAATAGTTCATTAAGTTGTTTATTCTTTTGTATATACATAATTTTATTTAAAATGTATCAATAGACTTTCATAAGAATCCAGATTATATGGAAGATTCTAAATATTTTGCAGTTCTGAGACTTAATGCATAAAAGTTCAACCAACTAGAGCTGACCAGTTTATTTTCTTCAGAAGGGCATTTGCTGTGATATTTGTCAAAGTCTCCTCCATGCTTTTATTACTGAATATAGATCTTAGGTAAATGTTTGTTGCAATTCATTCTTGCATTGCTGCCATTGTTTTTCTTATGCCTGATCCACTAAGTCATTATGATCACCTGCCTGGAACCCGTATGCACATGAATTTTTACCTGGACTCTAAAATATTGAGACAATGATTAGCCTTAAGCAAAAGACAAAAAAAGTTTCACTTCTGTTGCAACCTAAAAAAAAAGTAACAGATATGGATGTGGATAAGTTTATAAGTGGCAGAAAGGAAGTCAATGAAGGTCCCTCTTGGAGCCTTTGTTTTATCTTGGAAATTAGATGCAAGACAGCCTGCTTGGAAGGATGTGGGACATAGGCAGGAAGGATTTCAGAATTTGTTGAATATTTGCTATGGAGATGGACGAGACAAACAGGAGACATAGAGAAAGATTTCTGGGAAGAACTAAGAATCCATTTGATATTGAGAGATCAGGGGTTTTTAATGGCATATTCAACATATTTGTATATGTACCTCCAGTGATATTTGACCCATAAATATTGAGGAAAGGATCCTGTTGAAATACTCCTGGTCTGCAGTTTGGCAAGTAGAGGTGGTTAAAAGGGCAAGATGAAAGAAAACTTAGCTAGGATGAAAAGAATTTGAAGTTATGAGCCAGTAGGATGTACTTATAAATATGTATGTACTGAATGTATAATATATATTACTGATGGAAATAACATGAATGTGGCAGAAATGAGGTAACAATTTGGTGTAGGGAGATTATGAAGGTTGAAGCTAAATATCTTTGTTGCTTGACTTAGATTTAAGCAATAGTGAAAAATCAGAGGCAAAAGTGTCTATTTCAGAATGATCTCCTGGGGCAGTTCTTTGGGTACTACAGAGCCTGATATTAATTGCCATGTTGTGAGAACTGTGTCCTTGGAATCTTTTCATATTCAGTGCCCTGTGTCCCTTCCAAGTCTCTCCTGACCTGTTGATCTTCAGGGATCCCCATCTCAAATAATAGTCCCTACAACCAGTACATGGACCTTAGGCACTGACTGGAAGGTAATAGTAATTTGAACCCTAGGGCTTAAAGTTCTTTTTCATGTTACAAGATTATCAGTGCGCAAAAAAAAAAAAAAAAAAAAAAATCTGTTAAACTTCCTGGTAACTTTTTCACTTCTTGATTTTGTATCTACACCATGTCTATGACTCTTAGCTTTTAATGATAAATTGAGATTCTGGTTTAAAGTGATGTTCATCTAGGTGAGGCAAGATTATACAGTACACATATGATATTACATTTGTGTCTTAGTGAAATTCAATACTTCTACAAGTCTAAAATGAATATACTCGTATAGATAAGGAACCAGTCCATGACAGTGAACTGATCTCTCATGGTATTTCTCTTGAGGTATTGTGTTATTTGTGTGTGTTGGGAAGTAAAAATAAGGGGGAAATTCTCATTTGACTGGGAAGGATAAGGTAGCAATCTGCAGGCTGCATTAAGAAGAAGTGACATGGGTCTGGCTTTATTTTGTTCCTTTGATAGAAAAATGAGAGTACTTTTTAGGGTAGCTACTAAATGGATGATAACTGTCCATGAATGAGAGAATGGGAAAAGTTATGTACATATGTGCTTATTTGTGTTTGTGAACATGAATATATACATATATATAATTGTGGGTACATTTATTAGAATTAGAAAAAATATATGTAAACTAGTTTGTTCCTTAGGGGCTCATCTATATTCTCATTTTACTATTATTTACTTTCACTATTTTGAGGGATCACTCAGTGACTTTGTGCTATTGTTGGATGTCCAGTTTCCTCATATGACCCTTCCCTTTCCTTCATTTGCTTTCCATTGAGTTCTGTCAATTTCACTAAGGTAAATTAATATAAGGTATTAATCACTGATAATTATTTAATATATTTTACTTTCATGATTAATTTTCACAAGTAATAAAACAATTTTAGTATATGCAGTTATTACTAGGAAAGAATTTTGAGGCCTCGGTGATTCTTATTGATAGTATGTAGAAGGTTCATACTTGTCTTAAACATGAAGTAGTTATGATCTTTGGGATTATGCTTTGTATTAATGTATCAAAATCTTGGCCTCTGTAATCTTCTAGACAGTAAAAATTCTATGTGGGTTTGATGTACACTGAGACAGCCTCTTTTATGTCACCAGAAAACCCTCCTTTCCCTGATCCTCATCCCCTCCATTCAGATCCAAGCACCTCTTCCTTCAATATGCAAGATCAGGAAGCTGATTCCCTTTCTCAACACCACACACCAAAGTAGGCACAAGGTTTGTTCTGAGGGCATTTATGAATTTTCATCATTAATAAGCTGTTGGAAAATAGGAAGAAAGGAAAGAAGGAAGGAAAGGAGAAAAGAAGGAAAAGAAGGGAGGTAGGGAGAGAAGAAAAGAAAAAAGGAGAGAACAATGGGAAAAAAAGAAACAATGTAAAAGGAAAAAAAGACTGAATTAAAGGGAGGCAGTGCAAGAAACAGAAATGATATGAATAATAGACAAAGTATGTGGGGCTAAATGACTGGTAGACTAAAGGAGTTAACTAATCCCTAAAAAAAGTATGTTTTTGAAATTATCTGTGAATAATGATTAAACATTTAAATAGAAATGATAATATTATTTCTTTCAATAGCCAAATATTTGCCATTTTATAAGAAAAAATGACCTCTGTAATCTTTAGAAGCTGGCTGTCATTTATATAATGAAAATCCTTGAAAAAAAATTCCCACCTCAAAATTATGACTGAAGAATTAAAATAAGTATATATATATATTAAGCACTGATATTTCCCCCATTTAATAAGGATGATTCATCATAAGTTATAGATTATAATTTATAATTATATAATGTTATAACTGAATGCATTGTATTCTTCTGACAGTCTCTTTCTTCCTTCTTTATTTTCTATCTTTGATCAATTTTATCTCAGCTTCTAATATTTATGTCTCAGGAAAACTCTGCTTTTACAATTAACCTTTATGTGCCTCTGTATAAAGTTGGGTCCTTATTGTCATCTGCTGCAATTTCTGAAGGACACTGTCAAAATTAATTCCATAGGTCACTGTAATTTCTCTCAAAGTCAGTTTTTGAAAGACTTACTCTTAAAAAGTATTATGACCAGTGGCCAACACATTATTCTATCTCTAAATTCTCATAATGTTTTTCTCCTTTTTCTGAACAGGATAATGGGCATAAACAAGAGCAGTGTCAAAGAAGACTTCATTCTGACAGGCTTCTCTGATCAGCCCAGCCTGGAAAAGAATACTCTTTGTGGTAATTTTGGTATCCTATCTCCTGACTCTTATGGAAAATACAATCATTATTCTGATCTCCTCCATAGATTCTAAACTCAAAACACTTATGGACTTTTTCGTCACTCGCCTCTCCCTAGTTGATATCTGCTTTACCACCAGTATTGTCCCCCAACTGCTATGGAACCTAAGAGGACCAGCCAAGACCATCACAGCCCTGGGCTGTGCTGTTCAGCTCTATATGTCCCTGGCCTTGGGCTCCACTGAGAGTGTTGTCCTGGCTGTAATGGCTTTTGATAGATACGCTGCAGTTTGCAAACCTCTCCACTCTGCAGCTGTGATGAACCCACAGCTGTGCCAGGCTCTGGCAGGGCTGGCGTGGCTGAGTGGGGTAGGGAACACTCTCATCCAGAGCACTGTCATGCTCTGGCTGCCTAACTGTAGACACCGGCAGCTTCATCATTTCTTCTGTGAGAAACCCTCAATGATTTAGCTTGCATGTGTAGACATCCATGCCAATGAAGTACAGTTATTCATCGCTTCATTGGTCTTGCTTCTCTTGCCCTTAGCACTGATATTGATGTCTTATGGACATATAGTCAAGACAATTATAAGGATCAAGTCAGTCCAGGCCTGGAATAAAGCCCTAGGAACATGTGGATCCCATTTGATAGTGGTGTCCCTCTTCTATGAGACTATCACAGCTGTCTACATCCAGCCCAACAGCTCTTATGCCCACAGTCATGGGAAATTCATCTCCTTCTTCTATACAGTAGTGACTCCCACCCTCAATTCTCTTATCTATGCACTGAGGAATAAAGATGTGCAAGGAGCCCTGGGAAGACTATTTCACAGAGACCTAAGCTCTTAAAAGACAAAGCAGGGCACACAGTGATCAATTTTTTTACAGAACAAAGAAACTGGAGGTCATTTTGTGTAATCCTTCACTTAACACATTTATTAACCTATAAGGAACAGATGTAATCATCAGTCTGCATCATCATCTTAAACTTGGCTACAGAACTATCCTATCCAATCTCTTTCACAGGCTATTTTGGGACCCCATGTAAGGTACTATTTCCCCTCACACTTCAGGTGTCTGTAATTCATACCATTTCTGTTTCTTGCCCTCCCTTCCTTCCTGCATTGTAATTCAGCCTTCCCTCCTTTTTTCCATCATCTTTTTTTTCTTTCCTTCCTTCCTTACATTTTCCACATTTTATTTCTTCTTTTCTTCCCATTTGTATGATGTGCTTAACAACCATTTCCTCTGCTGCTTCTACATTATATCCCTTCCCATCAGTATTGTAACAATTTCTGAAAAAACAACTATCCCTAAAAATAATTTCCCGTTTATCACAATAATGGAGAGACTAGACTAGAGAATTTGGGTTTTAACTACACAACTTCCTTTTTGAACTTGCATAAGTTTTATTGAGCTTTTTTGAATCTGAGTTTACTTATGAGTAAAAAAGAAAGAGCTTTATTACTGGGCTGATTAAGAGATTAGAAAGTTAGTGTAAGTTAGTCAAGGCCTGACAGTTGTTTTTCTTTTTTGTAATGCAATTCCTGACTTAAGTTTTGGTTGCAGGGACATCCACTTCAAAGATGGCTATTCAAAAAACATAGTGACAGCACAGGACTAGATACAAGCCATCTTCCCCCACCCATCAGGCTCTCCTGTTTTAGAAATCTTGGTTGATTTAGATAAATGACAATTTGGGCTACTTGGTTTTCTCTTCCCTTGTGCTTTTAATTTCTACTCATGTTTTCACCGAAAGAGTGAACTCATGAAACCCTAGGGCCCCACCATTGACCCCAATAAAAGCAGAGTCTCCTGCTATGCATTCTTTCTTTCTATTTACAGCCTCATTGTGTTGTGTGGCCCCAGAAATGCCATGTACCCTCCTATGCTTTTGAGTAATAAGCCTTGTTCTTTTCTCAGAGTTTCCTGATAGTTATTGCTGAGGGCATCCTGCAATCATAAGAACCACAACATTGGTTATTGGCAGGCTGAGACCAATACAAAACAATAATTAAGCACCAGGCAAGAAGTGATCAATGAATATCAATGACATCTTTCCAATCTTCTAATCCTGTGATCATAGTATTCCCCCTATTTTGATCTAATATATGTTTATTTCAACTGTAGCCGATAAAAATTCTTACCTCATCAATAACATTTTATCCACTCACATGTATACAGCATCCCTCCCTAAATTTTTCCTCATCCTTCTCCTAGAACAAAGCCAACCTTATTACTCTCTAGGCAGGAAAACAGAAGTGTTGACCTATGAAGAATCTAGAAGAGCTGTACAAAAAAAGAGATGTACAGAGATATATGTTATTCCAGTGAAATACCATTATCACTTATCATGAAGCCTGATTCAACAAGCTTTGCCCAAGTGGACAGCATTTCTAACCAGCTTTCTAGTGAATGCATTGCCTCACTCCTGAGTATAGCCTCTTGTAGTAGGGGAAAACTGAACTTAATCTCTGGGTTTAAAATTTAAAACTAACATTAGCTTAAAAGTGAACTCAAGAAGCCCCAAAACTTTTTAATCACTTAAAGGTGGCAGTTTCTCTTTGTTCTCCCAATTTTCTGAGTCTCAGGGTCAGAGACCCAAGCCATCCTTTCCCAGTGTACTGAGGAGGAATTGGTAGGAGAAACAAAAAGCAATTGATTCAGCTCTGAATGTCGGCTTATATCCTTGCAAGCTGACACTTTATGTATTCTGTAAACACCACAGTCTCTCTCCCAGGATTTCCCCTTTAAAAGCCCTGTTTGTGATTCAGCAGGACAGTGATTCTTTAAGGCATGAGCCTGCCACTCTCTTATTTGCTGGCAAATAGACTATTCTTTCCTTTCGTCAAAACCTTGTCACTGTGTTTTGTGATTTGAGTTTGGTGACAGGGAGCAGTTTTCAGTAACACTTTTATATGCAGAGACACCCATACATAGAGGAAAAAAGAAAGGAAAAGTCTTATGTAAGAAACAGTATTAATGAACTGCAAAAATCCTCATTAATGCACTTGATGAAGGTTCATGAGACAAAACAAAATAATGACTTAAGAGCAGTATAATAAGGAAAAATGAGCCATTCTGAGAAAAAGATGGCAGTGTACAAAGGCAAGGCAAAAACCTCCTCTCAAAATCACACAGAACACAAAAATACAGCAAATACAACTAGACCTAAAAATGACCTGAAGACTGCAGAACCGACTACCTACATCTGGGGAAGAAAAAAAGACCCTACAGAAAAGGGTAAAGTGGCAAAGCCACGATCCAGCGGGACCTAAGCCCTCCCTGAACCCCAGGCCACAAACAGGAGGAAGAGGAATTTAGCAGGGAGGGAGTGGAAGCCCAGAACCACTGAATAACTGGCTCTAGAGATTGCTTCAGGAACACAAGCCCACATTTCATGGTGCCCTGGTGATTGGTGCAGCTGGACAACAGAGCCAGGAGGAAGACTTGGGGAGGCTGAGATCCCAGCTGCCAGTGGAGAACAGGCATGCTCTGCCAGCCCCTCTGAGAAAGAAAGCAGAGCAGGCAGTTTTAAAGACTTCTCAGCAGTGAGAGGGGCACCAGAGGGGCAAGAATTGCACAATGCTCTCTGTTTAAGAGAAAGATCAGGTGGACACCACCTCCCCATCCCACCCTCAGTCCAAAAGTCTCAGGAGCTTCAGATGCTCCATCACCCTCACAGTCAACACAGCCCAGAAACTCCTTGTGGTGGTGCATGGCCTGCCAGCTGGCAGTAAAATAGACTGCTTCCAGGTATGCAGGGGGAGAATCCCCAGCCTGCTAAGCCCTATTTTGGGACAGCTGGGAAGCTGCATACAGGAGCCAGCCCTGGGAGTTCATTCCTCCTGGTTGGTGTGAGTCCTGTTTTGCAGGGTCCCTGCCATTGCAGCAGACCAGACAGACAGTGGTTCTGCCCATGACAGCTCCAGCCCCATAGCACTGACGCTCATCTCTCTGTGTGCACCTGCAGCCCAGCCCTGGGAGGTCTTTCCTCCCTGCAAGCACCAGTCACCTGGCATCCTTGCCATTACAGCAAGCTGGAGAGAGGATGGCCCTGTCCACAGCAGCTCCAAAGAGTATTCTACTCATTCCCATGATCATCTAGTGACCCACACAGCCCATCTGAAATCAGATCACTATGAGCAAGGCAGACAGGTGCCACACCCACTGCATGTGAACATCCGGGACTCCCACACAGGAAATTGAGCTTCTGGGCAGTAGAGGGTCCTCCTACACAAAACTATTATCCTATAAGAAACCCTGAAAAAAAAATGAATAGGAAGAGGAATTTGGTCCAAACAAAAATACAAAAAAAAGCACCAGAAAGAGGGCTTGGTGAAACTGAAATCACCAGTCTTTCTAATGACAATTTCAAAATAAAAGTCGTAAACCTGCTCATGGATATACAGAAAAGTATTCAAGATCTCAGGGAGGAGTACAACATGGAGAAATCCTGAAAAAAAGCAGAAGAATACAGTATCTTAAATGAAACACACAATAGAGGTACTTAAAAGTAGATTACATGATATAGAGGAGATGGTAACTGAAAAAGAAATTAGATAACTGTAAAACAAAGCTGAGGAAGAGAGAAAAATTATCTCTAGGAATGAAAGAATAATAAGAGAGCTCTGTGACCAATACAAATGGAACAACATTTGCAATATAGGGGCAACGGAAGAAAAAGAAACACAAAGGGATATAAAGTCTCTTTGAGGAAATAATTGTTGAAAACTTTCCCAATCTGGGGAAGGAAATAGACACTCAGGCTATAGAAGTGCAAAACCACTCAACTAAAGGAACCCTAGAAAGATAACACCAATACATATAATAATTAAAATGGCAAAGATCAAGGACAAGGAGAAAGTACTGAAAGCAGCCAGAGAGAGAAAACAGATGATTTCTAAAGGAAACCCCATCAGGCTATCAGCAGACTCCTCAGGAAAAAACTTAGGGGATAGAAAGGAGTGCATTATATATTTAATGTAATGAAAGAGAAGAACCTACAACAAATAATACCTTACCTGGCAAGATTATCATTTAAATTTGAAGCAAGGATCAATTTCCAGATAAGGAAAAGTTGAGAGAATTCACCACCACTAAGCCATTCCAACAGGATCTCTTAAAGGGACTGCTTGAGATGGAAATGCTAAATAACTGTCACCAGAGAAAATAAACACACAGTAAAGGTAGTAGACCAATTAATTACTAAGCAAGTATGAAATTAAATCAATTACTCATAAACTTTGTCAAGGGATACACACAAAGAATGCAGAATATGACACCTAATATATAAAGAGTGGATGGGAAAGAAGAAGGGGGGGACATTTAAATTGTGTTTGAAATAGAGTAATAAGTGATTTAATATAGACTATTGGATAGTAAGGAAGCTGTCCTTGAACCTTTGGTAACCACAAATCTAAAGCCTACATAGCAATAAGTACACATCTATCAATAATCACCCAAAATGCATATGGATTGAATGCACCAATCAAAAGACATAGAGTTGCAGAATAGATAAAAAAGCAATACCCATCTATATGCTGCCTAAAAGAGACTCATTCTGAATACAAAGACATACAGAAAGTAACAACAGACAAAGAAGGACAGTACATAATGATAAGGGGGTCAGTCTAACAAGAGGATATAATAATTATAAATATCTATGCACTGAATATAGGAGCATATAAATATGTGAAACAAATACAAACAGAATTAAAGGGGGAAATAGAATGCAATGCATTCATTTTAGGAGATTTTAACCACCACTCACACCAAAAGAAAGATCAACCAGACAGAAAATAAGTAAAGAGGCACTGAACAATACATTAGAACTGATGGATCTAACA